CCTGGTGAACTTGGAAAATGTTCACAGCTTATAGAACTCACTCTCTTTGATAATTCTTTTTCTGGCAATATTCCACCACAACTAGGCAATCTTTGGAACTTGCAATCACTAGACTTAGGAAACAACTTTCTTGATGGAATTATCCCTGATAGTATCACAAACTGCATAAACTTAGGTGCACTTGGGCTGAACTCCAATAAATTTACTGGTAAGATTCCGTCGAACATTGGAAATCTGGAATCTCTTCAAGTTTTTATTGGTTATAACAACAGCTTTGAAGGTCCAATACCTGATTCTGTAGGAAGGCTGACGACATTGCGAGTTTTAGACTTTAGTCAAAACAAATTATCAGGTAGAATTACTTCTTGGATAGGGAACTTGACAAGTTTAGAAACGCTTCAGCTTTTTGAGAACTCGTTGTTTGGAGAAATTCCGCCTGAAATTGGGCAGTGCAAGAACCTTACCCTTCTGAACATTTATAGCAATAGTTTTGTAGGAAAAATCCCTCCTGAACTTGGGAATTTAGTTAACCTGAAAGAATTAAGGTTGTACAAAAATAAGTTGACTTCAGTGATTCCAAAGTCCTTAATCAACTGTGATTCATTGACACATTTGGAGATTTCAATGAATGAGTTAAGTGGGAAAATACCTTTTGAAATTGGGTTTTTACCGTCGTTAGAGATGTTGATGTTGCACTCTAACAATTTCACTGGTTCAATTCCTTCTTCTTTAACCAACCTGAAGAACCTGACATATTTCTCAGCAAGTTTCAATTTCCTTACAGGAGAAATACCATCCGATATCGGGAAGCTTTATAACTTGAAGAACCTTACCTTGAACCAGAACCTACTAAGTGGCCCAATTCCTTCTAGTATAACCAATTGTACACAACTTCTTGCTGTAAGCCTTAGTTATAACAGGTTAACTGGTGAGCTCCCACTTGGTTTAGGGCTGTTAACTAACATGACATTCTTTTCGGTAGGAAGAAATTCCATGTTTGGTAACATACCAGATGATATTTTTGACTGCACTAGTCTTGAAACTCTTGATTTGGGGCTAAACAACTTCAGTGGACCGCTGAAACCAAGTATTGGGAAAATGAGTAATCTGAGGAGGCTGCAACTTCATTCAAATTCTCTTACAGGGAAGATTCCAGCAGAAATTGGTAATCTTAGCAGGTTATTTACACTACAGATAGACAGAAACAGGTTGTCAGGCCGAATACCAAGTGAAATCTCAAAGCTCTCTCTCCTCCAAGATCTTGCCTTGCATGACAATGGACTAGAAGGTGAAATTCCAGAGGAGTTATTCCAACTCAAACAGCTTACTATACTAGAGTTGCAGAACAATCAGTTCACTGGTCAAGTCTCATATTCCATCTCAAAACTCGAGCTTCTTTCAACCTTGAATCTGGGAGGAAATAATTTCCATGGGCGCATTCCATCAGGCATGGCTAAACTTAGCCGTCTAACAATGTTGGATCTTTCTCACAACAATTTCAGTGGGTCAGTTGCAGGACTAGTTATTGCAAACATGAAGGGATTGCAAACTTACCTCAACTTATCACACAATTCTCTGTCAGAAAAAATTCCTGAAGAAATTGGCATGTTGGAGATGGTACAGTCCATCGACATGTCACACAATAATTTCTCAGGACTTGTTCCAGCAACACTCAAAGGCTGCAGAAACCTGCTGAACCTTGATTTATCAGCGAATGAGCTTTCTGGTTCACTTCATGAGGGTATGTTTGATGAGACGAATCCTCTTACAAGCATGAATCTATCAAGAAACCAGCTCAATAGTCAGATTCCTGCAAGTTTGGCAAAGCTGAGGCAACTGAATTCACTTGACCTTTCACAAAACCAATTAGATGGGCCGATCCCAGAAAAGCTCAATGACCTTTCAAGGTTGAAATTTCTTAATCTCTCCTACAATCATCTTGAAGGTGCTATTCCTCAAAATGGTGTCCTCCAAAACTTCCCTGTATCTAGTTTTTCTGGAAACAAAGGGTTGTGTGGCACCAAACTTCATCGCTCTTGCACCAAGAAGAGCATCTTCAATTCTTTGAGAAGAAAAACATTGTTAATTTTGATACCCCTTTTGTGTGCATCAGTATTATTACTTCTTATAATTGTCACCCTGCTTTATAAGCAGCGACAACGCAATCAAAAGAGAAGTATCAGGGAAGTTGAGGGACTTGAGACACCTGAGATAGATAATGCAGGAGCTTTAACATTGAAGAGATTCAATTCAAGGGATATAGAAGTTGCTACTGATAACTTCAGTGAAAGCCGTGTTCTTGGTAGCAGTAATCTAAGCACTGTCTACAAGGGAACATTGCAAGATGGAATAATTGTAGCTATAAAGAAGCTGAACTTGGTACAATTTGCAGCAGAATCTAACAAGTGTTTCTACAGAGAAGCCAAAATCTTGAGCCAGCTAAAACACCGAAACTTAGTCAAGGTTGTTGGCTATGCTTGGGAGAGCAGAAAGTTGAAGGCTTTAGTTCTAGAATACATGGAAAATGGAAATTTAGAACAGATCATTCATGATCCTTCAGCAAACCACTCAAATTGGACTTTATCAAAGAGAATTGATGTGTGTATCTCGATAGCTAAAGGATTGGCTTACTTGCATTCAGGTTACGACATTCCCATAATTCACTGTGACTTGAAGCCTTCAAATATTCTCTTGGACAAAGATTGGGAAGCTCATGCCAGCGATTTTGGAACTGCTCGAATGCTGGGTGTTCATCTTCCCAGTGGTCTCAGCAGTACCACAGTGTCAGCATTCAAAGGCACAATTGGCTACATGGCACCAGGTAGTTCTTCTGCACCAGTTCTCTGTCTATTAAGCAATTCATCAGTTGCATATACATAAACTTTATAGTTATTCATTTCCTGAATTGCTGTTTAGACAGGACACAGTTGCTAAGCTTAACTATATTCTTTCTGCAGAGTTTGCGTATATGAGGACTCTTACAACCAAAGTAGATATATTCAGCTTTGGAGTTATAATCATGGAGTTCCTCATGAAGCAAAGGCCAACAGGTCTTACAGAAGAAGGTGGATCACCGCTCACCTTGCGTCATCTGGTAGAAAAGGCAATGGCCGAAGACAGGCCACTTAGTGTTATTGACCCTGATCTATCTTCAAGTATCACAAGAAAAGAAGAAGCGATTGTCAGAGAAATTCTTAAACTAGCATTGTCCTGTACCTCCCTTAATCCTGAAAATCGACCTGACATAAACTTGGTGTTGTCGTGTCTTTTTAAGCTAGATAGTCCCATAAGCTGTGAAAACCATGACATCCATTCGTCAAAGTAGATTGTGGCATGAGTAAGAAATTTTTCTCTGATAAGAAGTCCTGTTATGATTTTATGAATGGTGATTTTCCATCTTAACATGTTTCACTTTACTCACATAATATTTTTGTGTACGGTGATTTTTCATCTTGTCATTTTCAAATTTTTCTCGATTTATTTTTTAATGAGAGGTGTTCATGATTACTACTTCTATGCATTGCACAAAACTACATTGATCCATTTAACTCCAAATTATGGAAAAAAAAAAAAGTCTAGATAATAATTGCTGTTTCACAAGAAATAGTTCATGTAGTTATTACAGGTACAACTGTCAATCAGTTAGAACAGAAGCCAAAGTTAGAAACTGCAGATTCAAAAAAAATCAGGCTTAAATTACCTCTTTCAGTTTCAAACTCAAACTCACTACTGACTAATTTCAAACACAAAAGATCTAGTCATCAAAGGAGGAGCATAAAGAGGCAATCCTAGCTAGAAGCTACCTCAGCTTCTTCTATAAAAGTTACCTCTGAGCCTCTGGGGAAATATATAAAATGATTCTACTACATACTACGTAGATCAGAGTCATTTTTAGCATTATGTCTGTACATTACTACATACGGAGTAGTTGTTATGGCGTTGGTATCATATTGTCGTCAATGATTGTTCATATTGTCCTCATCTCCCATGATTGAGGATATATATAAGTGCTCTTCCCTATTTCCAAAATCCTAATTTAATATATGAGTATGCGATTATTAACCCCAAGATGCAACCTGTAAAAAAAACACTCCAATTATCTCGTAAAAAATTCATGTCTCTATGTACTCAAACTATTCTACAAGTTCTTTGGTCAATTCCATTCCAGCTTCAGAAAATTGTACTTGTATTTATTATGAATACACTCCAGGAACTTAAGCAAGAAAATTAAGCAATCTGCAGTATTTGACTCGCCTATACTTCAGGAATTCAACATGCTCATTGTTTATATATACTACTTGTAGAGTATACTTCGATGCAACTTGTCAGGGAAAGAACTTTCCGCAAATATTAAACTTGAAACTGGTTATATTCGTTACTCCCGATCTATTTTACATTTTGTAAAATATGATGTTAAATAAGTTTATCAACACCCATTTTTCTGTCTAAACCATGACATTCATTCATCAAAGTAGATTGTGGAACGAGGATTATTATTTAATCTTATAAGAAGGTGCTGTGGATTGTGATTTTCCATCTTAACACTCCAATTATCTCATAGACATTTCATGTCTCTTCGTACTCGAATTATTCTAGAAGTTCTTTGGTCAATTCCTTGCACCAGGAAAGCTGTTCCGGCTTCAGAAAATAATGCTTAAATTATTCTAGAAGTATTGATTATGAATTCATTCCAGGAACTTACACAAAGAATATTAAGCAACATGCAGTATTGGACTTACCTAGACTTCAGGAATATCACATGTTCATTGTATATACCAGTGAAGTATACTTCGGGAAAAAAAAAAAAAATGCAACTTGTCAAAGAAAACTGGTTGTAGCAACTTACCACTCACATTTGTACGGGAACAAGTTGAAAAGACGCATATTAATTCTTAGCTTGCTAATCATATCAAACCTGCAGGAGACGATAAATGTATGTTCCTGATGAGTTAAATTCCGCGATCCACTAACTCTTAGTGTCAATCTACTTCATGTGGATAAATGTAGGAAGCAACAGGGTCAAGGTCAAGATGATGATCACAATCATAATCAGCAGTTAAGAAGAATTAAACAATGTAATTAGCCATTGTATATTACCTGCACTACCAGACAAAATACATAGGGTGCTGGTGTAGGATCTGAGGATGATGTCCTCTGGAAATAACCTACAGTTTTATCAGTTTGTATAGCAAGGGCAAACATGAACCATATAGCAATTTGCTGAGATACCTTGCTGCTGATATCAGTAAAAGGGCATTGTTGACTAAAAAGTCATAAACGTCGGGCTAACAGGCTTCTAGTTTTTTTTTTGTTTTTTTTAATCTTATACAGCAATTTGCTGAGATACCTTGCTGCTGATATCAGTATAATCTCATGCATCAAGCAGCAAAAAACCAGTAGTATAAATAACAATCACACCATCACTTTAAAGCATTCACCACTAGAAAGTTAAAAAAATGGCATTCCAAAGTTTTGTTTACTTCCCCACTTTTATTATAATTCTATATAGAATAGCAACAACTGTTATATCAGTAAAAACTAACTTTCAGGTTGAATTAGAAGCCTTACAGACCTTCAAGAAATCCATCACTATAGATCCTCTTGATTCATTGTCCAACTGGACTACCACAAAACACCATTATTGCAATTGGACCGGCATTTCCTGTGATACATTTACAAACAATGTTGCTGAAATAAATCTTAGAAAGAAGAAGATCGGAGGAAGACTATCCGGTTCCTTGGGGGCCCTATCTCACCTTCAGGTACTTGATCTATCCTCTAATTTATTCTATGGTCCGATTCCTTCAGAGCTGGGAAACTGTTCCCAGCTCATGCAGTTGAGCCTTTCTGATAATGTCCTCTCTGGACCAATACCGTCAGTGTTGGGAAATCTCCCAAACTTGACATACCTAGACTTGGGAAACAATTCCTTCACCGGAAGCATCCCAGACAGTATTGCAAACTGCACATCCTTGGAGCAAATTGGGTTGAGTTCAAACAATCTTACAGGTAAAATTCCACCCAACATTGGAAATTTAGCTAGTCTCCAAGTCGTTATTGCTCATACAAATAATTTAGAAGGTTCTATACCTGAATCCATAGGAAAGTTGACAGCATTAAGGACTTTAGATCTCTTCCTAAACAAACTATCTGGGGTAATACCAGCAACATTAGGCAACCTGCCTAATTTGACATATCTAAACTTAGGAAACAATTTCTTAACTGGAAGTATCCCTGAAAATTTCTTCAATTGCACATCTTTGGAACAACTTTCACTCATTCATAATAATCTTACTGGAAAAATATCATCTAAGATAGGAAATTTAGCTTACCTCCAAATTTTCTTTGCTTATTCCAACAGATTAGAAGGTTCGATACCTGAAACTATTGGGAAGTTAACAGCATTGACTGCATTAGACCTTAGTGGAAATCAGTTATCTGGAATAATTCCTCCCAGCATAGGAAACTTGATAAACATACAAACCCTACATCTCATGGAGAATAAACTTACCGGAAATATACCACCTGAAATAGGCCGCTGCAGAAATCTAACTAATCTGATTTTGTACAGCAACAAAATAGAAGGCAGCATCCCTCCAGAGTTGGGTAATTTACGTAACCTGCAAGACCTAGCACTATATAATAACAAATTAACTTCTATAATCCCCAAGTCCTTAGCGAACTGCAAACTTTTGACAACCTTAGAAATTTCAAACAATCAACTAAGCGGAATTATACCTCCTGAGATTGGATCTCTACCATCCTTGGAAGTGTTGTTTCTGCAGGTGAACAAACTGACAGGCCCAATTCCGTCTTCTTTGACCAATCTAACAAACTTACAACTATTTTCAGCAAGTATGAATTTCCTCACAGGGAAAATACCATCTGATATTGGAAAACTTCTTAACTTGAAGGACATTAGTCTGAATGACAATCTATTAAGTGGCTCAGTCCCTAGTAGCATTACCAATTGTTCGAATTTACTCGCTATCAGCTTATCTTATAACATGTTAACTGGGAGGATACCACAAGGTTTAGGGCGGTTGTCCAACATCACATTTTTTTCTGTTGGATACAATTTCTTGTCTGGAGATATTCCAGATGACCTCTTTGATTGCTCCAATCTTGAAACCTTAGATTTAAGCACTAATAATCTAAGTGGGCCTCTGAATCAAAGGGTGGGGGAACTAAGCAAGTTAAGAAAGTTGCAACTTTTTCATAATTCGTTTACTGGGAATATTCCACCAGAGATAGGTAATTTAACAATGCTGATCAGCCTAATACTCCACACAAATAGGTTCACAGGCCAAATTCCTCCCGAACTCTCCAGGCTCTCGCTCCTTCAAGCCCTTACTTTGAATGATAATGCAATGGAAGGTGAAATCCCACAGGAGTTTTTTCGACTAAAACAACTAAACATTCTTAAGCTACAAAATAATCAGTTTAGAGGTCCAATCTCAGAGTCTTACTCTGAATTGAAGCTTCTTTCAACTTTAATCCTAAGTGGAAACAATTTCCAAGGTTCCATTCCAAGACACATATTTGAACTAAGCCCGCTGTTATCACTTGATATCTCCCACAACAATTTAACCGGGCCAATAATAGCAGGCATGAAAAGCTCACTAATGTACCTGAACCTATCACACAATTCTTTGTCAGAAACAATTCCTGAAGATATCGGCAAACTGCAGATGGCAGAAGTCATCGACATCTCACATAATGATTTGTCAGGAACAATTCCTGAAACAATTAAGAATTGCAGGAACTTACTCATCCTTGATATGTCAAATAACAAGCTATCTGGCCCCCTTGGTGAGATATTATCTGATATGGAGTACCTCACAAACTTGAACCTGTCACAAAACCAAATCAATGGTAAGATTCCGGCTAGTTTGGCTAATCTAAAACATCTAAGTGCAGTTAACCTTTCATGGAACCACTTGGAAGGTGAAATCCCTGAGAATTTCAGTGCTCTCTCCAGCTTAAAACATCTGAACTTATCTTACAATCAACTTGAAGGCCCTGTTCCACAATCCGGTGTATTTAAGAACATGCCAGAATCCAACTTAGCAGGAAACAAAGGTCTATGCGGAACCAAATCTCTTGGTTTGTGTACCGAAAGAAGCCATGGCCAGTCTCGGCACAGTCTGTCAAGGAAAACGCGGCTGATTATGATACCTCTAGTTTGTATTTCAGCATTGCTGCTTTTTCTAATAGCAATCATGTCTTATAAACATTACCAGAAGAAAAGGAAACTAAAAAAACGTGAGACTTGTAACGTAGATTACACTGCAGCTTTAGTCCTTCAAAGATTTGAAACAAAAGATATAGAAACAGCAACTGAATTCTTTAGTGAACACAACATCATCGGCAGCAGCAATTTAAGCACTGTGTACAAGGGCAGATTGGAAGATGGACAGATCGTAGCTGTAAAGAAGTTGAACTTGCAGCAATTTGCAGCAGAATCTGACAAGTATTTTAATAGAGAAGCGAAGGTTCTAAGTCAGCTGAGGCACAGAAACTTGGTCAAAGTTATTGGTTATGCATGGGAAAGCAGGAAATTGAAGGCTTTAGTTCTTGAATACATGGAGCAAGGAAATTTAGATAAAATCATCCATGATCCTTCAGTAGATCGCTCAACGTGGACCCTGTCAAAGAGAATTGATGTTTGTATCTCAATTGCTGAGGCCATAGCTTATTTGCATTTAGATTATGACTTCCCCATTATTCACTGTGACTTGAAGCCTTCAAATATTCTCTTGGACGGAGACTGGCAAGCTCATGTTGGTGACTTTGGAATGGCGCGAATGCTAGGTGTTCACCTCAACTATGGTGACAGCGCTTCTACTGCATCAGCATTTGAAGGCACAATAGGCTACATGGCACCAGGTAATTCTACCCCTAAGTCAGTCTTTTCTGTAGTTGTCTTTACACTATAAGGTCTTTGCCAATATTAAATATTCATTACAAAGCTAGCAACAAATAATCATGCTTTTCCTATTTTCCAATACAAATTAGTCCAGAAAATTATATTCATTATTGAGTCTAGGCACTCCACCCATTGATATAAATATACGAACAAAACAAAAATCTCATAACTACATCATCTAATAACTAACTGTGTAGGAATAATGTCACTGATGTTATGTCAAAAAGCACAAAAGCTTGTATGATTCTATGATGGGTTGTCGTTCCACTTCTCTCAAAATACATCTCAAAAATCGTCAATTGCTAAATCTAACAACTGCTATAAAAAGTTAGGATAATTTATTCATCAATTCAGAGGAAACATATATAATGCAAGTAGCTAGAATACAGAATCAGAACAAGATAACCTCATACTAGCCAAAGTACCTAATCTAGTTTTATAATTAACAAAAGCTATTCGCTGCATTCATATTTTCAGCATAGCAGTTAATTTAATTAAGCTACACATACTTGAGCTTCCATCAACCAGTTCAAGACATCCAAGCAACATAAACTTCGATGAAGTTATTGTCAAAAAGCTAATTTTGGCATTGTTCAAGTAATATCTGATGTGATGAAGTCCTTCGCTTCCTGCTGAAAACATGTTGCATTGTCAATTTATCATAAAACAAGTCTCTTATTCTGCCATAAATGTTTTTATCTGCAGAATTTGCTTATATGAGGACTGTTACCACCAAAGTTGATATATTCAGCTTCGGAGTAATAATCTTGGAGTACCTTACAGCACAAAGGCCAACAGGTCTTGCAGAAGAGGACGGATTACCAGTCACCTTGAACAACATTGTAGAAAGGGCCATTGCAGAAAACAAACTACTTCAGGTTATAGACCCAGCTCTAGTTTCAAACATTACTGAAAATCAAGAAAAGGCAGCAGAAGAGCTTCTGAAACTAGCCCTTTTCTGCACCTCGTCTGCTCCTGAACAACGACCTGATATAAAATCTCTGCTAACTTCACTAAAAAAGCTTAAGGTACAGCAGAATCGTCAAGATTGACAATATTGCCCAACTAGAGAGGGGTATGAAATGATGCCGTTATTTCGTTGTTTTCTTGGATTAAAGAACATAAACAACAAGACAGAACAATGGAGCATTAATGTTACTACATTGATTTAAAATTAAGCTCAACCATGCTTTTCCTTTACCAACAGTTATGTCATATGATAAAATTATGTACACAGATTATTGTATCTTCTTTTTATCGATGGTATTCAAATAAATTATAATGTATGCTTTTGCTTGATTGAAGAAACTGTGCATCTTATGTTCAAGCATATCCGAGTTTTCTTAGAAAATTATAAATTCACAATCAGAAAGAAGGTTTAAAACCATCTCCAACGCTGAGACTCAACTTTTTGAATGAATATTAAAATACAAAATGAGTTGTTTTTCACATCCAATGGTAATACTCAACCCACTTCTCAATTTAGCAACTCATGTAATATATAAGTGAACTGCTAAATATCGCCCGCAAATCTCTACATAAAGCCCACAAATTTGAAGTGAAATGACACTTTTGCCCACAAATTAAAAAACACACTCTCATTTTCTCTCTACTCTCATTTTCTCTCTCTAAATTTTTTTTTAAATGTCGAGGCGGCAAGGCAAGGAACTGGTAACACCGGTGGCGGAGGGAAGGCGGTCTCGCGGTGGAAAGGTATTTTTAAATTTAAAAAAAAAAACAAAATAAAAGCGGGAGTTGGCGGCAGAGCCACGGTGGCGGCGCCTTACCCAAACGCCAGGGCCACGGTGGCGGCGCCTAGGCAGGATGTCTGGGCCACGGCGGTGGCGTCTTACGTGGACGCCGCCACCGTGGCCTAGGCGTCCTGCCCGGGCGCCGCCACCGTGGCTCTGGCGTCTAGGTAAGGCGCCGCCCCCTTTTTTTTAATTTTTTTTTTCGTTTTTTTTTAAAATAAAAAATTTTCGGGTTTTTTTTTTCATTATTTTTTTTTTGGGAATTTTTTCCAGTTTTTTTTAATTTTTTTTTATTTTTTTGTTTTGTTTTCTTTTTTTGTTTTGTTTCAATTTTTTTGGTTATTATTTTTTTGTTTTTTTTTTGTTTTTTCTTTGTATTTTTGATTCTTCTGTTTTTGTTTATCTTTTTCATTTTTTTGTTTGTTGTTTATATTTTTTTGTTTTTTTGTGACACACGACCATGGAGAATTTTAAATATGAAATGGCTATACATCGTGCCATGTCACCGTCTAGAGTCTTCGAGAGAGTTCTTGATGTCGTTCTTTTGAGTGTCAATTGCCTTGTTTATTCTCACGAATAGTGTATCCAGAGCAGAGGTGGAAGAATCAATCCAGTCCTTCGAAGCTCTATGAGCGCTCTCAACTCTACATGTTGTAGTGTTTCCAAAATGAAGAACTTGGTTTGTCCAATATTTGACAAACTTTTCCCTCTGAGGTATCCACTGCTGCATGACTTAGTTTACTATTGCCGGGCACCATTGGTACGCATCTTTGAACTGCTCCAACGTTCGATCGTACTCTGCCTCCGTGGTAGCTTGCAGGATCTTCCGCCACTTACCATTTACCAATCTCTCTGCAAAATCTAAATTCTTGTTGAAAAATTTGTAGGCTTTGACTTTCACACAGTTGTTGATGTGCCATGTGCACAGTAAATGGCTCGACTCCGGAAACAGCTCCGCTATAGGGGCAAAGAGACCTCCCTCATAATCACTGGCGATGGCTGATGGCTAAACATTTGGGCCGATGTAATTTCTCAACTTCTCCAACACCCAACAGTAACTCGCAGCCGTCTCATCCTTGATGACTGCATAACCAATCAGAAAGTTCTGGTTCGTTGGAGCCATCCTAACCATCTCAACTAGTGGGAACTTGTACTTGTTTGTCTTGTACGTTGAATCGATCAAAATCACAGATGGCCAAGACGTGACCATATCAGCACAATCAAGATGCACAAGGAATAAATGAGTCACCTCCGATGTGTCTTCATCAGATTTAAACCAGAATAGGTAACCACATGCTTATGCCTGGTGTAGAAGCTACTGTATAGGGTTCCTTCCCTTTAACCGTTCAAACCTCAATTTCTGTCTGACGTTGTAGATGTGTCTTCGATTTGGCTGGTCTTCAGGAAATTTTTCTTACACAAATGCCAATATTTTAGCAGGCTTCACTTGAGCATCACTCATTTCTTTAACAACTAGCTTTGCAGCAGGACTTAGGCCGCTTAACTGTCGATGACCCACTTCATATACTATCATCTCATGGTTGTGATACCCCCATTTAGAGTAACCCTTCACTTCCCAACCGTCACAACTTTGGTGTTGTCGAACCTTTACTTTAAACTCACACCCACAACCTTTCCGCTTTGTATCAAACCGAATTGCTGTACTGAAATCTTGTTCCTCCCTTTTGCGATAACGGTCGCATCTCAAAATGCGATCCATTCTACCATCCCGTTGAGATTTATGAGTTGCTACTACTAAACAAAAACCAAATCTAATTGCAACCTGTTTTGCCCAATCAATCGCTTGTTGAGCATCTTTGAAGGGACCATCATGTACAAAAATCTCACTATAATCATTTCCGTCTCCACCATAATCCTGCAACAATGACATATTATTTTTAAATACATATAATTATATTAATATTAAATTAATACATTTAACACAAAATTTCCACATAAGTAATTTCTAAATTTTTTTATTTGTAAATTTCATTTCTATATTTAACGCATAATACATTTATTTTCCAAATGTACACAAAATTAACACAAAATTAACACATAAGTATGTAAAAGTATTCATACACATACAAAATTAAAACATAATTTTTTTTTTTTTGAAATTATTAAGACATATATAATTTCATTGTTAAAATTAAAACATAATTTTATTAACACATATTTAAAACATAATTTCAAATTAAAACATAATTTTGTTTTTTTTTTTAAAAAAAAATTATTAACACATATTTAAAACATAAATTTACACATACAAAATTAAAACATAATTTTTTTTTTTTTTTGAAATTATTAACACATATTTAATTTCAAATTTATCAAAGTTAAAAAACATAAAAAAAAAACAAAAACAAAAATAAAAACAAAAACTTTAAATAAAATTTAAACAAAAAAAAATTACGAAATGTGGCGGTGGCATCTGGCCAGGACGCCGCCACTGTGGCTGTGGCGCTTGATCGGTTCGCCGCCACCGTGGTTGTGGAGCCTTGCTGGGACGCCACAACCGTGGCTATGACGTTCCAGCCAGACGCCACTACCATGGTAGCGGTGTCCTGGCCAGGCGCCACCACCACGGTGGCAGCGGTCAGGCCATATGCCGGCCAGCATTTCGTAATTTTTTACGAAAGTACCACGTATTCTGGAGATGATGACGGCTCTCCGGTGTCCCTCGACGATCCAGTCCTGCTCCACATTTTTCGTGAGAGATAATTACATTTTTGGTAAAAATTAAAAAAAGGGCAAAAGCGTCAAAGTAAAAATAATTGTGGGCTTTATGTAGAGATTTGTAGGCGATGTTTAACAAATCCCTTTTCTGGTTCCCTCTAAGGTTTCTTCCTTGAGAGGGTTTTTCTAGCTTTCATTGCTAGTTTTTTTTTATTTTTTTATTTTTTTTAAAGGTTTTTCTTTACTTTCTCCCTCTTCTCTCTTTCATTCTTCTAGTCCCAATTGTGAATCTTTATAGGGGCTTCCACTAGTGTTTTTACCGGTGGTAATTACATCGGTGGAAGCCCCTAAATCTTTTGAATTACTTTTAATAAATGAATCTCATCTTTAAGATGGTGGTTATACTATTAGGCTTAATTTTTTTATTTGTTCGTCTGCTGCGAAGGATTGAAGATTTAAGGTTTCATAATCTCCGGAAGAATCAATAAGACCATATGAGTATTTTCATTCAAACAACTATTCATCAATGGATTTCAACCCGAATTAGTGCTAACTCATAGATGGTATTGCTTCGCATGAA